AATTTTTGTGCACCGGGCCTCTAGTACTGATATAAAAAGATAGCCAAGATACATTAAGTTTAATAAAAAGTTGCATTTCTGTAAAAAAATACTATTAATTTCCTCACAATGAAAAGCTTAAAACCTAAGTATAAATTATTATAGATTCATATATGTATTTAGAAAACTCTAAAAGAAATATAACAAACAGTGGCTATCTCTGAGAATTGCCGTTTCTTTTCTAATCTCATTTTGACAATGTTTAATTACTTTCACTATGGGAATATATTATTTTTGTAATTAGAAAAAATGTGTTTATTTTTAAGTGTCATCTAAACTAAAACCTAATTTTGATAAACAATGTCAAATTTCTCAGTTTTACAAAGGGTGTACAAAAAACTTTAGATGAATCTCCAAAACTGATGGCCAATAAAAATGATGCTCAAGTTGATAAAATTATTGTCCCAGTCCTTACAAACACACTGTACCCCTTGATAAATAGTTAAAATCAAGGCAGCAAATTTAAAATATTAGATCAAGAATGTTTACTCGGCCCTGACCAGTTTGGCTCAGTGGATAGAGCGTCAGCCTGCGGACTGAAGAGTCCCAGGTTCCATTCCGGTCAAGGGCATGTATCTTGGTTGCGGGCACATCCCCAGTGCGGGGGGTGCAAGAGGCAGTTGATCAATGTTTCTCTCTCACTGATGTTTCTAACTCTCTATCCCTCTCCCTTCCTCTCTGTAAAAAATCAATAAAATATATTTTTTTTAAAAAAGAATGTTTACTCGATAGCCAAATGCTCAAGACTATATTCATTTGACTATTTCTTAAATGTATAAACTAGTTCCAAAATAATAAACATTTTAATGGAGTCGCCTTGAAATTCCTATTTGATAACTCAGGTTTTTAAATACATATTCTCCCTAATGAAATGATATTTCATTCTGCAACCAAGGAGGATAATACTTAAAAATATTTTTCATTCCGATACACTAATCTAAGTACACTCTCTACTCAGAAAGCAAAACCTACTCTGCAATTAAATTTTCTGTGCATGGAAAAGTAAGAGTGAATACTTAACAATTTTTATTCTAGGCAAGGACTTGTACCACTTGATGCCCGCTACCAACAGAAACTAAGACCAATTACACAAACAGCTCTGAGGAGAACTGACATTTCCACTAGGAATTGTGAGATCAACTTAGTTTTTACTTTAAACTTTTTTCCACTTTGTTTTTATGCTGCTTTGAATTTCTGAAATGAAGGAATGAGTTATATCAATTTAAACAGGTAACAAAACTCTCCCCATAGCACTCACATATTCTGTGCATGGAGTTTAAATTGCAATTTTTGGAGAGCAATCACACTCTACAATCAAAGAACTTTAAAACTGTGCCTGCTATTTGCCCTGGTAATTCCAATTCTAGAAACTGAATTCAAAAGAAATTCAGGTATGTTCAGTAGGTATATACAGGGTGGGGCAAAAGTAGGTTTACAGTTGTGAGTACCCAAAGCAGAGTTTATTCTTGTATTATTATTAATTATTATATTATTTTCCATATAAACAATTGTAAACCTACTTTGCCCCACCTTGTATTATCCTCACTGCACTTTTCTATAATAGGAAAAACCTAAACATCTCACAACATGGGTTAGTTAAATATTTTGTGATGTGGTATGACTTCATGAAAAATGACTATCTGGAGAAAAATGTACATCTAGTGCTGTCCATTTTTTCTCACCCCCATTAACATTAAATACACACAGAGCAAGGACTCTGTTTTACTCACTGCTTTATTCCTAGTTTAGAACAATGTCTAGCTTATAGTAGCCACTCAAAACCTTACAAAGTGAATGAATTTGAGTAATCCAAGTACATACAGAAAAGATTCTAGCTAGAAATATAGTATAACAGCAGAATCACATAACCCATCCATTTACTGAGATTCAACTGTCCAGCAAAACAAAAGAATGACATCATGTCAGTGATGCACTGGCGGCTCTGGAGTGAGAATGGATCTCAGATCCCGCAGCTCTCACAGGGTGAATGCCACACTAGCCAAGTGTGATTCTCGTATTTAAAGAAGGATTTTTAAAATGCAATATCCCCTCTAAATATAAGCCAACTACTGGCTCTGGGGCTCCACCCCAGAAATAGTAAGTTGCTCCAAAGATGGGCTTTTTAAAAGGATTCCCAAGAGTAATTTTGACAACACAGAAACTCTGCCTTAGAAGATAACTTCAGAAACCAGCCTTTCCACCTCTAAATAAAATGCAAACCTACATTATGCCACAGAGATAATCACAGATATATCTGGGATATGAATACGCAGTTCCCTTTTTATTTAATTTATTTCCTAATACCTCTACAATTAGCAAATGTTGCTGCTGCAATAAAAAAAAAAGCTCTATACAATTTTTATTAGTCCACAATAGTCCTTTCTACATTTATCACAGAAATGCTAGATCTGGTTTCAATGCTCCTCTACTTGACCTATAAAACAACACTACTCCTTTAGTATATTATCACTTGCTAAAATGTTTACCCATGCAACACATTTATTTTATCCTATTGCCCTATGCTATTTAAAAAAATTTCTTAATAAGTATATGACTCAAGTTATATATATTTTCAACAAGAATAAGGCAATTTTCTATTTCTATTAAGATTCACTTAAATGTCTATGAAATAGAAAATATAAGTTCCTTATTGACATGAAAGTTTTTTTAAAAAAACAAAACAAGACAGAGGCGTGTAGGCAGAGGGTGAGAGAGGTCACAGCCACAGCGTGTTCACAATGCATAAGGGAGCGTGCCCCACGGCGTCCCACATGAGCACTGCGCCTGTATGAAGACGGTGCACATACGAGCTCGGGACCGAGACCTCCGCAGTCAGGCACGTTTCCAATAGCTGCTCATTATATCGTGTACCCCAATGGTAGAGACCCCTATGCTTTATTTCCAATAAAAGGTTGGGAAAAAAAAAAAAAAAAAAATAAGGTACCTGAACATCATAGAGTGCTACGATATTTTCATGCTGAAGTTCCTGTAAAGAAAATTAAGAATTCAAATATTTGTATTTATTCTAATAATGTTAATATATTTCAATATGCAAATAAAAATTAATTTAAGTATACACACACATACACATGCATGTATGCTATTTCTAGTATACTACAGTTCTTTTACAACATTCAATCTACTAGACAGTAAGAAATGTGCCTCATCAAAATTTACTTGGGGCCCAAATATTTTTTCACTATTGTTTTTTAGACTCTTAACAAGGTATTTCATTTACAAAATAAATGTCATAGTAAGTATGACTAAAGACTTTCTGCCAGTCTTTTAAATTTAATATACAATTTCTAACAGCAATAGAGGCATGAAATTCCAAAATGCTTCTTAAAAGCACATTATGCCTTGGTCCTGTGGCATCGTCCTTGCACAAAAAGGGTTTCAGATTCAATTCCCGGCCAGGGCACATACCTAGGCTGAGGGTTCGATCGGGTTGGGGGCATACAGGAGGAAACTGATCAAGGTTTCTCTCTCAAATTGATGTTTCTGTTTCTTTCACTTTCTTTCCCTCCTTCCTCTCTCTCTAATTGATTTTTCTTTTTTTTTAGAGGGAGAGAGAGACATCAATGTGCTCTGACCCACGAATGGAACCGGCAACCTTTCAGTGCACTGGAAGAAGCCCAACCAACTGAGCCACACTGGCCAGGTCTTCCCCTCTCTAAATCAATCAACATATCCTCAGGTGAGGATTAAAAAAAGAAAAAGGCCATGGCCTGTTTTCTCAGTGGTTAGAGCGTCGGCCCGCAGACCTAAGGGTCTCAGGCTCAATTCCCAGTCAAGGGCACCTCGGTTGCAGGTTCAATCCCCAGCCCCGGTCAGGGTGCGAGTGGGAGGCAAAGTGTCTCTAACACATCAATGTTTCTCCTTCTTTTCTCTCTCTCTCTCTCTCTCTCTCTCTTGCGTGGGAGGCAAACAAAGTGTCTCTAACACATCAATGTTTCTCCTTTTCTCTCTCTCTCTCTCTCTCTCTTCTCCCCCCCCTCCTCCTGTCTTGTTCACTCTCTCTAAAAATTAATAGGAAAAATATCCTCACTCCTTGGGTGAAGATTTACAAGAAAAAAAACAACCCCTAGCCAGTTTGGCTCAGTGGATAGAGCGTCAGCCTGTGGACCGAAGGGTCCTGGGTTTGATTCCGGTCAAGGACACATACCTCGGTTGCAGGCTCCTCTCCAGCCTGGGGTCTGGTCAGGCTCGTGCAGGAGGCAACCAATCAATGTGTTTCTCTCACATGGATATTTCTCTCTCTCTTTCCCTCTCTCTTCCACTCTCTCTAAAAATCAATGGAGGAATATCCTCGGGTGAGGACTATAAATAAGTAAACAGAAAAATTTAAAAAAGAAGCATATTATTTGCCGGGAAGAAAATGAAGTGTAACTCTGCTCAGCGAGCTGTCCAAAGACGAGCAGTGCTGATGAAAACTGGTATAATGAGGGTTCCATGTGCACAGTAGTCTGGGAAACACTGGGTTAAATACACCTACACCAGTTTCTTCATTGCATCACTTTCAGGCTTTCTTTAATGAGCCAAGTGCTCTGAAACTCTCCAAGAAGTATTTAGTAAGAAGGACTTATCAGACCATAGGACTCTTTTTGTCCTTAAAGCATCTCACTTGGATAACACTGCTTGTGAGTGATCTAAAAAGACCACTTCTAAGGAAAATAACTTACTTCAATTTACAAGGAAAATAAGATTTCAAGTGCACCCAGTTCTCCAACTGTACCATGAAAGGGATCAGGAGAAGAGGTAAGTGATGTGTAAGGGGGGCCGGCCTCTTCCCAAACAGTAACACAACAAATAGGGGAAAGAAGAAAAGAAATTATGAGTTTTCACAAAATCACTCTAAGCATTGGACAAGAACCGCAAACAATTATTTTTTAAAAATAGCTTCCCAGTTCAATGTTTCAAAAAACTGAACATGCAAAAATAAGAGCAACAGGTGAAAATTCTCAAACTTGGGTCCAACTACCAAAATTACAAAGTATGTCATTATGTATTCATTTAATTTAAAATAAGTTTTAACCCAGTATGAAATATCACATAAAGGAACCTTACCTTTAAGATTTTAATTTCCTTCCCAAGCAGTAATTGTGATTTTGACAAGTTCTTTTTATTAATACTTTTAATAGCTACCTCCCAATCAGTTTTCTGAAAAGAAAAAAATAGTGTTACTTCTGGAAATTACTTCATGGAAATAATTCAACGGGAAAAAAATCTATAAGCTTAAAGATTTTTTTTTTTAGAAAATTCATGTACAGCACTGAGGGAAAAATGGAAAAGAACCTGAATCTCCAACAACTGGAAAGTGATTTCATAAATTACAGTGTAACAGCTAATGTCCTACAAGACAGCCGCTAAAAAATAAATTCGCAGATCACACAGTAGCCAGCATTAGGTGAAAAAAAGAACAGTGTACAACTATGAAAGTTAGGGGAATTGTGGATAAGAAACGAAGGTCGTATGTTTAATTGAAAACAGTATTGGATAGCTTGGCAGGAGCAAGCCGTGTTTTAACTATTTTTTCTTGAGTTTTAAGTGATTTTCCTAACAAATGAAAAGCAGTATTTATTACTTGATCAGATAAGCAACAAAGCCAGCCCCTTGGCAGCAATCAGAACTGCCAAACCCTGTAAAATTATTTCCACTCCCGAGGTGACTTTCCAAATTCTCTAGATTCTAAAACCTTGTATGACCCGAATTTTCAAAACAGGAAAAACTTAAAAAAAAAAAAAAAGCTGAACCTGCTTCGTGTTTATTTGTGTTGGAAAAAGGAGCGTCCAACCATCTTTCCCACTCGGACCCGCCTAGTCACCCCCAGGCGCTCGTCAGGGTGTCGAGGAACCCGTGCAGGGAGACGGGACACCCCGAGTTTGAGAAAACCTCGGGCTAACGGACCACCGGCCCGTTTTTCGCGGAGGTGCGATCTCCACCCAAAGCGCCCCAGCCGGCCGCCCAGGGAGGGTTGACATCAAGGGGCGCCCACACCCCC